GGGGATCTGCTGAGGTTTCAGCACCTATACCCAGGGGAGGCCAGATCAGGCACTCTGGAGCAGTCTACTGAGTTCTCAGCCCCTATACCAGGAGGAGGCCAGATCAGGCACTCTCAGGTCATCTGCTCCCATGTCTGGCTTTTTACATGGGTTCTGGGATGTGAACTAATGTCCTCAAGCTTGTGCAACAAGCACTCTTTCCTACTGAGCTTATTTCCCAGCTCTATGCTGTACCTCTTATACAACCTGAACCTCAGGTTAACAAACTACTTGTTAAGAGAAAGGTTCTTTTTTTTTTGTTGTTTGTTTGTTTTGAGACAGGGTTTCCTTGTGGCCCCAGCTGTCCTGGAAGTCACTATGTAGACCAGGCTGGCCTTGAACTCACAGAGATCCGTCTGCCTCTGCCTCCCAAGTGCTGGGATTAAAGGTGTGCACCACCACACCCAGTGAGAAAGGTTCTTTTGATAGAAAGCATCTATCAAACACTTTTATTTTAATATTATTAAACTAATTCTTTTATTATTACAATTTTAAAATATTATTATTTTACATGTATGAGTATATTGCCTGCACATGTGTAAGTATACCCATATTGTGCAGCGCCTGTGGAGGTCAGAAGAGGGTATTGAATCCCCTGGAACTGGAGTTATGGACAGCTGTTAGCTGTTATATGGGTGCTAGGACTCAAACATAGGTCCTTGGGAGAACAGTCAGTGCTCTTAACTGCTAAGCCATCACTCCAGCCCCACAAACATTTTAAAATGATAATTAAAATACAGTTGACCCTCAATATCTGCTGGGGATTGGTTCCTGAACCACCTATGGACCCTAAATCTGAGGATGTTCAAGCACTTTGTATAAAACATCACAATAACCAGTACACATACAGGGCATGTCACCTCTAGATAACTCTTAGTACCAAATATAATGTAAATGCTATGTAGCTAGCTGTTATACTTCATGGTTCAGGAAATGACAAGAAGTCCATGCTTGTACTGGATAGCTTCAGTGGTCAACTTGACACATCTGGGAAGAGGGAACCTTAACTGGGGAATTTACTCCTTCACATTGACCTGTGGGCATGTCTGTGAGGCATTTTCTTCACTGTTGATGTAGGAGGGCCCAGCCTGCTGTGGGCAGTGCCACCCCTGGGCAGGTGGTCCTGGGTTGTATTAGAAAGCAGGCTGAAGCCAGGTGTGGTAGCACATGCCTTTAATCCCAGCACTTGGAGGCAGAGACAGGCAGGTCTCTGAATTCAAAGCCAGCCTGGTCTACATAGTGAGTTACAGGACAGCTGGGGCTACAGGGAGACCCTGTCTCAAAAAAACCAAAAAATAAAAATAAAAGAAAGAATGCAGGCTGTGCACAAGCCAGTAAGCTGGGTTCCTTCATGGTCTGTGCTTCTGAGTTCTTGATCAGAGTGTTTTATCACAGCAACAGAAAACTAACCAAGACAGGTGTAGCTAATTTTTTCCCCTGAATACTTTTGATCTCAGGTGGGATGAATCAGTACAGGGGAAAGAAAGTATAGTTTAGATAGAGGTATAGATGAAATATTGTCCCGAGTGTTTATAATCATGGAAGCTGGATGATGGACACTGGAGATTCAGTACACAGTGGGTTTTTCTAGACCTCTCTGCATGTTGGAAATTTTGCATAACAGAAAAACACATAAATAAAACCAGAAGCATCCAAAGGTACCTCTCTACCACCCCCTTTCTCTCTCTTTGCTTAGGGCCTAATGTTGCAACAACGGGAGGTCAGTGCACAGGAGAAAAGCCACTTCACACTAGTCCCTGCCTACATATTTCTGTGTGGGCATGCATTCTGATAGGTGCACATGGAGGCCAGAGGTCAACCTTGGATGTTGTTCCCCAGGAACCATGAATCCTGATCTCTGTTATGTTTTTTTTGGTTTTTTGGGTTGTTTTTTTTTTTTTTTTGGTCTTTTTGAGACAGGATCACCCTGTAGCCCCAGTTGTCCTGGAACTCACTATGTAGACCAGGCTGGCCTTGAACTCACGGAAATCCACCTGCCTCTGCCTCCCAAGTGCTGGGATTAAAGGCATGTACCACCAGGCCCAGCTCTGTTTGGTTTTTTTTGTTTGTTTATTTATTTATTTATTTATTTTGAGATAAGGTTTCCCTGTAGTCCCAGCTGGTCTAGATCAGGCTGGCCTGGATCTCATAGAGATCTGCCTACCTCTGCCTCCAGGCTGCTGGGATTAAAGTCATATACCATCACACCCAGCCAATCTTGGTTTTCTGAGACAGGGTCTCTCACTGACCTGGAGCTCACCAAGTAGGCTACTCTGACTGGTCAGTGAGCCCCTTGGATCTGCCTGTCTCTGCCTCTCCAGTGCTGAGATTTTAAGTGTGTTACAATGCCCAGCTTTTGTACATGGGTTCTGGGGATCAAATTCAGCTCCTTATGTTTGTAAGGCAAGCATTTCTTCAACTGAGCCACCTCCCCAGCACCCCCCTACTTGTTTACTAAAGGCACAAAACATGGTTTTCAGGATACTGCATGACTGCACTGACTCACTGACATCTCCATTTCAATATCCCTTCCTTAACCTTCTTTGAGTAGTTGATCAAATGTGATACTTCCTGACTCCCCAGACCAGCCCGTCACTCTTCATTCTCTTCTGTTGTATTCCTCATCACTGTTTAACTTCACACTTGTTTACTGGCTTTCCCAGAACCAGAATGCAAGCTCCTTGAAGGTAACAAGTAGATATTCTGTAAGCTTGCATATGCAGCATGGCTGTACTTCATAGCAAGGTGCACTCATTTACTCCTATAGCACTTGGAACACAAAGCTGTCTGTCTCTACCTCCAGCCCTCCATTTTGATACTAACTTCACTCCATAAAGACAGGGGTCTTCATAGTGTCTTCCATAAGACCTCATCATACTGACTCCATGTCCACTGTTTTTAAATCTTTTTATATTTAATTAATTAATTTATTTATTATTTATTTTTGGTCTTTTACAGACACGGTCTCCCTGTAGCCACAGGTGACCTGGATTCACTATGGAGACCAGGCTGGCCTAGAACTCAGAGATCCACCTGCCTCTGCCTCCCAAGTACTGGGACTAAAGGCTCTATATATATTTTTTTAATTTTATGCATGTACTACCTGCATGTAGGTAAGTGCACCCGTGTTGTGCAATGCCCATGGAGGTCAGAAGAGACTGTCGGATCCCCTGGGACTGGAGTTACAGACAGTTGTTAGCTGCCATGTGGGTGCTGGGATTCAAACCTGGGTCTTCTGCAAGAACAACCAGTGTTCGTAACCGCTGAGCCATCTCTCCAACCTTATTTTATTATTTTTATTTTATGTGTATGAGTGTACTGCCTACATGTACGTAAGTGTATCTGTGTCGTGCAATACCCACAGAAGTCAGAAGAGGGTGACAGGTCCAATGAACAGTTGTGAGCTTCTATGTGGGTGCTGGGAACCAAAGCCAAGTCCTCTGTAAGAGCGGCCAGTGCTCTTAACCACTGAGCCATCTCTCCAGTCCATTAAATCTTTTCTGAATAATTGAACCATTAAAACTGTCTAATTTCATCAATTAATAGCCATGACAGAGGCTGGAGATATAGCTAGGCAAATGTTAGAGCATTTGCCTAGCATGTATGAAGATCTAGTTCACTCCCCAATACCAGAGAAAAAAGAAAACTACATGGTACAACTCAATTTTATACAAGCAGTTCCACATTCCCTCAAATTGGGTTCCTTATAGTTACTTTTCATAAAATAGTTCTTTAGAAAGTTTTATGCCAGGTGTGGTGGTGCACGCTTTTAGTCCTAGCCCTCAGGAGGTAGAGACGGGATCTCTGTGAGATCAAGGTCAGCCTGGTCTACATAGTGAGTTCCACTCCAGGTGGGGCTACAGGGAGACAGATGTCTCAAAAAGACTAGAAAAAAAAATTTTCTGGCTGGGCATGGTGGCATAGGCCTTTAATCTCAGCACTTGGGAGGCTGAGGCAGGCAGAATAGATCTCTGTGAGCTAGAGGCCAGCCTGGTCTACACAGTAAGTTCCAGGCCAGCAGGAGTTAGAGTGATACCCTAGTTCAAAAAAAAGGTTATCTGCTGAAATAATTTTGAGAAATAACTGTTTTGCCACGAAGATGATATGGTGTTAATAAACTGAAGTCCTATTAGAAGTTCTAAAATATGTATGCCTATAATCCCAGCACCTGGGAGGCAGAGGCAGAGAGATCAGAGTTCAAGGTCAGTGCAAGCTATATGAGTCCCTGCCTCAAAAAAGTAAAACACGCGCAAATTCTAAACTAAGTTCAGTTTGTTGTTTAAGACAAGGTCTTACTATGTAACTTCTGGAATTCATGATCCTTTTGCCTCAGCTTCTAAAGTGCAGGCTTAATAACCAGAATTTTCCAACTTAATCATTTGATCTTTTGTGCTACAATGACAAATATTACCATGTAACAAGACAATTTTTATGAAATATACTTTTAGAAATACATTTTTAAAATACAATAAAATATATTAGCATACAATTATTTGCTTGGTAAGGTATTTTGCTTTACCAAAGATAGGCAGAGAGTATTAAAATATGCTCTTAGGTGGGCCTGGTGGCACATGCCTTTAATCCCAGCACTCTGGAGGCAGAGGCAGGCTCTGTGA